TCAGGAGAAAAGGTAAAGCTACATGTATCATGCTGTCAAACCTCGGGCAGGCTCTTATTTCTTATTAGTGATACATCACGTCATTATAATGCAACCCATGCTGTTCTAATGTTACAACTCCAACTCCATCAATGCAATGCAAAGAGTCAGGGGTGGTAAGATTACAAACCTTGGTTCATGGCTTGCAATAATCTGTTGAAATATTCCAACACAAGCACCTCGTTTGCCCTCCCAGTACTCGGGATTAGGATCAAGTCTTTCCAAAACATCAAATGCCTTGGCAGCATAATAAAACTGTCCCATCTGAAAACAAAAAAAGACAGAAATACATATTCAAAAGACAGGCAGCAGATTCAGTAGTAGAGAAATCATAGCAAAAGCATCTTTCTTCTCTAGGTGCAGGTCGTGACATAATACCTTATAGCAATCATTGGCAACAAGTTGAAGCAGGCTGAATGATTCTCCTGAAGTTTCCATTTTCAAGTAAAGTTCCCAAGCCAACCTTGCCTTGTGGTTCATAATGTCTAAAGAAAATTATATATTAAGCTATTTTAACTGATCTTGGATACTTTCAAAGGCAAGAACTGTCACACTGCTTGCTTGAACGAAAAGAGACAAAAATAGAGTTGTAACCGTGGGGTATTCAAAAAGTGCAATTGTAGAAGGGTGAGAATCACTGCCCTAAAAAACATCACACCAACTGATGGTCTCTTTGTCATGTAGACTAAGAATCCCAACCATAAGTCATTCCGCACTGCAAGTTGTCTTTTATCTCATATTAACAATTGACTTACAGCATCTAGCCAGCCAACTAAGGTATGTATAATCATTCTTGATTTTCTCAGACTGGATAAGCAGGAATATCTGGAATACAAACACATTGCTCAATACAAATGAATCAAGATCAGAGGATTACTGGTTCTTTGTCACTTAACTATAAKTCAACACAGGTAGCCCATACCTCTTCTGCTTCCTTGTAGTTGCCAACCGCTGCCTTGGCTTGAGCATAGTTGAAGTTAAATGTGTCATCATTGTAGAAATAACTCTTCAGAGAGATAGAGTGTATTTAATAGAGGATATTACATGTGTTATTTCATATGTGACATAAAAATAACATGTTATTATCACATGTGAAATATTTCACTTTTTTATGTTTTTTATAATGTTTTTTTATGTTTATAATTATAATAATATTGTACTACTTAGTGAAAGAAATGCCATAAAATTCTTGATAGCAAGACTTCCATGTACAGATATTTTGTAACTATAACATAATTTGACACATAATTACAATACCTTAATAGAGTTAAGATATATCAATACATCTTCAAACTGTTTGAGAAGAAAGAAACATGCAGCCATACACTGGCGGCCAGGAATGGTATCTAAAATACAGATGATCAGRAGTGTTWAYTGGTTAYATAGCWTTAGAAAAGTGGCAWYTKTAATTCAYTTATTCTTACCACACTCGCTTGCCGATCCACCAACCAGTTGAAAATATTGCTGGGCAATCTTCAAGTGCTCCCTCTACAATAATAATCATTTATCTCATAATGCTGTTTGTGCTAATACTGTAATYATTATGCAGAGAATTGACAAACAAAGATTCATAAAAGACTATTGTACTTACAGATCCTTGTTCCTGACCGAGAGATGCATTGACAACACCTTTCAATATGTATTCCTACCAATGACAAAATAAATATAAAACATTCAGAATCAATTCAAATGCTGACGTTTGCCATTGAAACCTTGCCATTATCTTATGAAGGTAAACATTTCATAAAAGGATTTTGCACCAGTCATTTCTGGTGTGTACAGTGTAAGCTAACCTGCGGTGTTGTTGGCTCCAGATCTTTAATCAGATTATAAGCTTCAACAACGTCATCTAAAGTTTAAAAAAAAAAACATTACCATTATTTTACTGGTGTCGCTCTTTTTTATATAAGGTACTGTAAATAAAAGGAAATTTGGAGTACCTTGTCTTAAATAATAAATAACCTGAAAGACATAAAAATAAAGAATGATGAGTTTACACATTAAGTGAATAATATATAATATCAAATATTAGAAAATTCATTTACCAAGTTGAGCCTTGCTTCTGGGATGACATCCACTAGTGGAGGCAGTACTTGAAGCGCACCTTCACCCCCCCTGAAAACCACCTACAGCATATCAAACAATCAAATGTTATATTCTTTCTGGTGTTTAATAATCACCTCATCCCAGCTGTTTTTAAACAGTTAAGACCCTAAACAATGATGAAGCTCAAACTAGTTTAATATATGATATTTACCAAGTTGTGTTTGATAAGATCAGCTGCAAAACTAAAAGARGGACTWGCAGTTTCTTGTAAAGATTTGAGTTCAGCCTCTGCAGCCTTTCCATTGTACAGTCTAAAATGATTACATGCYTTGAGRTTGACAGCTGTCGCACTGTTGACAAAAACATCTTATTAGTTGAAGGCTTGAACAATACTATACCGTTATATAAATTATGATATTGTGCCTTGAACAACGTTTATTGTTATGTTTGAGTGACAAACCTGTCGGGATAATGCTGTAGATAAACTGCTAAAACYTCCTGTGAAACATCATAATAGTCCAGTTTGTAATAACAAAGAGCAACGTAGACATTAAGAGCCAAGTAGTCCCTGCAAGAAAAATACAACAACATGTACATTTACAAATTGCCATTCATTCCTTGAGCTTGGGTATATAAATATGCCGGGATATCTATATATACATACAAGACTATGGCGTAAAGGACTTTTATCACTTTTAAATACCTGTTGTCTAATAGGATTCTCTTATAAATATCAATGGCTTCCTGGTAATGACTTCTGAGGTAATGAATTGACGCAAGACTCAGCTAAATTATGGAGAAACAGTGAAAAGGTCATAAAGAACTGTCAACAAATATGAACAATCATGAAAAAATTGTGAAACAATTATATGAATTCTACTGGCAGAACTTTATTTATTAATAAACAATTATTTTGACTTCTTTTTCAGTGGTTTTTCCTGTCAAGGGAAATCAGTCTATCTGATTTGGCTGGAGTATTAGATCAGATGAAGGTTGGTGTTTAACTTCAATATTGTACAAGATGTGATCCTCACTTTTGCTACTTGTACAAGATGTGATCTTCACTGTTGCTACTATTTTACYGTACCTGATCCTCAATAATGTCTTGTAAATTTTGATGAAATGTCATCAACTTCTTCTCATCATTGAACTGTGTATAAAAAGAAAAAAAAAAGCTAAGAATCAATATATTACAAAATAACAACAAACATTTGTATGTGGATGTATATGTATGTTATCAAATCTTCATTTCATCCACAAACTTTGAAAATATACCTTGTGGGAGAGATGAAATAGAAGTCTGTTTTGAAGTCTGGACTTTGTAGCTGGAAATATAATAAATAATATTAATGATGATATAGTGTTATTATTCTGCAACCAGTGATTTCCTTCACCAGTCCAGCCTTTAGAGCACATCACAAACAAACAAGAACCACTCACCTTTCTCGGATATATCTTGAGCTTCTTTGTACATTCCCAGGAAGAAATAACAAGCAGCCAGGTTATTCCAGACATCAGGGTGGCAGGCATCGCTTTTTGTCAAAGAAAGATACTCCTGATGATAAACAATAATTATGTTAGCAAAATAAAGSGTGAGAAGTAATACAAAATAAGGTAAYGAAAATTGAAAAAATTGAAAAAATACCTCCATGCTYTTCTTGTAGTCACTCAAATGAAATGCGCAGTATGCAATCCAWAGAGCTGTTTCCTCATTACTTTTGCCTGAATTTCGGTTAAACTGAAAAACAACATCATGTCATCAATAACTTCATATTATTCAGATAAATTCTGATATGTCAGAGTGGTAATGGAGTAATCATTTTAGACTATCATTCTAAATTGAAAAATCCATCATTGCCTGATATTTACCTCTAGAAGAGTAAGTGCTCCTGTGAAGTCTCTTGCTTGAAGAAGATCTTCAAATTTGGGCAACTTCTTTTTCTTTTTACTGTCTTTAGCTGATGATACTGTCGTCCCTGATCCTGGGCCCATAGCAGGCTTAGTTCTTGAGAGAATCTAGAATCAAAAATATTATGCATCGATTTTTTTGCTTGTTTTGRATGGGTCAGGGACATATAGGTTAATCCCAAAAGAGTTGTAGGGTCAGGGGGTGTTTGGTGCCTCTATCAATCATCATGGATCTGTTATCTGCTTTCGCRAAAAACTCAACCAATTCAATGTGAATTTTGATTCTTACCATTTTGAAGACTAGATTTTTTCACGACGTCGATAAAAAATACGATAAGATTACTTGGACCACGATCTACATTCGTGTTTAGACAACATTCAAGTCATTTTAGCGACATTTTTGGAGATAAACACATCGTCGCTAAGACGCCATTTTGGTTCTCCAGTTGAAAGTACAGGACAGCCTCGATTTAGTGATAAATCCACAGGAATCCCAAAGAGAAGTTCAAAAATRAAAATAAAATAAAAATTAAATCTACAAAGTGTAAATATTTTCATCATTATTATTAAAAACTGATGATACTTTTAATATTGTTTAAGGATGCACTTTTACATATTTTACATACCTAGAAGATCAGAAGCGATGGAATCAGTTTTTCTGTCACATAAATGTATGTTTTTATAGATATCAATTTTCCTGAGGGAGTAAATCTGATAAAGTTTCGCAGATTATTCAGAGCATTATTATTGTCGCTTCGGTTATTGTGATATATAAGTTTCGTTAGCAACATAAAACGACCTGTGTGACAGTCGGAACAATCGCTAGTCGCTAAAAAAATCCACGACAACATGGCTAGCCTATGAGGAGGAACCAACCCCTCCAAAATCATGACAAACAGAAATTAGTAGACTAGCACTAGGGAACTACACCCCCTAACCCATTTCACTTTATTTCCCGCGAATTCTATGACGTCACGCGGGAATCGACGGGATTTTTGAGGGATTGTATATACCACCCGTAAAAGGCGCCAAAATCCTAGTGTTTGAGAGCATATCTAGAATARCTCGGATCGAGGAGCATGTACAGAGTGTTTGCATCTTTTAAGAAGGATTCAACAGTGTTTTAGTACAAAATGATTCAAAATTACGCAAGTGGAGTCTAGACCGGAGGCATATATCTGTCCTTTGCCGTGGTAACCGATTATATGTTCAGAAGAACGTGTAAGMACACTATGTAATGACTTCTCATTAGATAGATTGTTTAGAATACCACTTACAAAATGTTTGACTTTATGACTGATGAAGGGGCATTACAATATTCCGATTGATTGCGGTTTACAAGTTAAAAGTTGGTTTAATCGTGATGTTTGCTTGGCGAGTCATCGAAAGCAAGATTACAAGAATGTCGGGAATMAGTCGTATATCAATTTAACAGCATGGATTATGRATCACAAGCATAGACGGTTATTGAGTGATGTTTATTTAAACCTTAGACATCAAATCTTCACGGAATGATGTTAATTCTATAATGGCGAATTTACTGCGAAAGAGATTCCCATTCGTGTTGATATGGCTCATTCTTATGGTCAGTTTTAGTCAATTACTTATGTTCCTGTTATTCAAAGAAGCAGAATCYTCCGTTCCRCGTTACAAAGACTTATCGAAAGCTAACATTCAAAAGTTTCCCAGTAATCGATTGAATGAAGAGGAAATCGCAGGAGGGACATTCGACAAAATCATACACAAAAAAATTATTGAAACAAAATCAATTATTGAAACACCTGGTGACCTGTCACGTAATAAAATTTTTATCTCAAGAAAACTGGAAAAGCTCAAAAACTTAAAAGAAACGGAGCAAAAATTATTTATAACCTTCAGAAAACCTGTTAAGACAGCGCAGAATACTTTCGAYCCGTCAAAAGTTGCAAGTGATGCGCGGSCAACAGGCCCCGATGATATAWTGATATCAGTAAAGACAACAMGACAATATCACAACACTAGGCTTGAGGAAATTAGAAAAACCTGGTGGTCATTAGCAAAGAGAAAGGTTAGCATAATATTTATTGCGTGTGGTCACTTGAAACATTTAGACTTCTAAATTTGCATAATCCAATAGGCTATAATTCAACTTAATATTATTTATTGATTATTGATAAGATGTCTAYTTGTTTCAGACTTTCCTGTTCTCTGATGCACCAGACCCAGCTCTGAACAAGCTGTTTGGTAAGTATCACAGTGTGAATCAGCAGGTGTATCAGGCTCTCTCTCGAAGGAATCRCTCTGCCCCAACCCCTTCAAGAGAGCCTGAAAATCTTTACAGCAATACTTTACAGCAAAGAGCAAAAAAGTGTGATCACGGATAATTTTTTACATTCTTTACATTTATTTACATTCTTTTGCTACATGTCTGAATCAAATTTCAAGCCAATATACTTTATTTAGCTATTTTCCAACTCAAATTTTAATTGAGGATTAATAGAAATGGTTTTGATATCTTAGGGTTGAAAAGTAAATTATCAGATGTGGGGAAAGGATGTGAATATATATTATTGATGGTCACACTTGGTTTGCGCTGTATGCATAAGCTCCTTAATGACCTTTACATTGCTATGTGACCAATTCAGTCCAAAACAAGTTGCCYAGCAATGCAACAGTTGTAACTATACAATATTCAAAAGTACTTTTCTGGAGTCATAACACAATTTTGGGAACATTTAATGGATATTGACATGATTACAGCTTCAAAAAAATATTATTTAAATTAAGGATTTAGACATGGTTTGACACAGTGATCATAGCATCTTCCACTTACAAAATTCTTTACTTATTTTCTGTTGTTTTTACATACTCAGATGGGCATCTTGTCAATACAAACTGCAATTTAGGACATCAAAGGTTTGTTTATTATATTTAGAAGTAATGAAGTACATGTACACACTTTATGAGGGAGACATGGAGAGAGAGAAATCTGCCATCCGTTCCCACCCCTCCCCCCTCCTATGGGGAACCCAAATTTTCCACGTAGGGGGGGAAGGGGTGGGAACGGATGTACACAGACTATCTGTTGTTGAAAGCTGCTTGAGTCCTGATTGGATGAAAATCAAAGATGGTGATTTTTTTCGTGTGAGAAAATTGTACAAAGGCTCTAAGATTCATGTATGCTTTWATAGAGGAAACTTATAATTGGCAACTGGTATAACAACAACCAATAATGTCACTCTAATTTCAGATCGAATTTGTGTTGCAAAATGGGATATGAATTGAATTTCTTCTCGGAGCATCAWAACAATTCAAGGTGTGTTTATTTTCAAAGTARAAGAGATTTATGTGCCATAAATTCATGTATACTTAGTTTTATTTGTATTTTTGTTTCTTGGCAGATGGTTTTGTCATTTTGATGATGACAACTATGTTATTTTTCCTTCATTAATCAAACTTTTGCGACAATACAACCATTCTAAGCCAGTCTATTTGGGAAAACCTAGTTTGCAAGAAAAAATGAAGGTAAATTCTGCAACTATCCTCTACCCCCACACCTGCAATGATGTTGTTTATAAACAAATTATGTTGAAATTATAAAAAACTTTGTGATTTCTCATTGATAGGTGTGGGATAGATATAAAGGCAATCAGGTAATTAAATACAACTCAATTAGAAATTGAAKGTTGGAGTGTAATTGAACTGCATTTGATTCAATACACAGGAAGTCCAGTTCTGGTTTGGAACAGGAGGGGCAGGTTTTTGTTTGAGTCAAAAGCTAGTATCTATGATGAAGCCATACTTTAGGTGAATATTATTGTTGAAATGTTATGACATTAGATGAAGTATTATTGGTATATTTGTAGATTGTTTGATGGATTAATTACATGTAATAGGTTAATTGGTGGAATTATTGGTGGTGGGATTAATGGATGGATGGATTGACTGATGGGTGGATTGATGAATTGATTGATTGACTGATGAAATGAWTGACTGATGGATGAATAGATTAGATTAACTGATTGACTGACTGATTGATTGATAGATGGATAGACTGATTGATTGATAGATGGGTAGACTGACTGATTGATTGATAGATGGGTAGACTGACTGATTGATTGATTGATGGATGAATAGACTGATGGACTGATTCATTGATCATTACAGTGGACAAGCATTCATTGAAACCTGTCAACGTATTGGTGTACCAGATGACTGTACTATAGGATTTATAAGTGGTAAATATTACATTGTTTCAATTATCATTTTCCAATTACGTGCTCTCCTGATCAGGAATCAGTTGATTCTTACTACATTATTGCAGTACTATTCATGAAGAATCATACCTCTTATTGAAGATTTACACTTTTATTGCAGAATATCTTCTTGGAGTGCAATTGACAAAAATTGATAGCTTCCACTCTCACCTTGAAGGGCTAGAAAATATTCCTGAAAATGAATTAAGAAACCAGGTATTGCACACATTAATGTGTATAATTACAATACATTTGTGTACTTCATTAGTAAATTGATGCTACAAACCGAGTTTTAAACTGTTTTGTTTTTTAACTGTTTAAACTGTTTTAAAACATGTTTTTATGATATTGTTGTAAATGTTTTTTTTTATTATTTATTGTCAGGTGTCTTTGAGCTATGGCTATCTTGGTCAACACCTCAATCATGTCAAAATAAATGGACGATTTGATGAGAAACAAGACCCAAGCAGGTAATACAACAACATTCTCATGTATATTTGGTATATTAATCTTGATTAATTTTTATTCTTTTGTTTWCAGGTTTAAATCACTTCATTGTAACCTGTATCCACAAACTCCTTGGTGCAAACCTGATGGAGAAAAGGATCAGCTATAATTTTTTATTATTGTATATTGAAATCATGAATAACAGAGTATGTAACATAACAAATTGCCAAAATTCTACAAAATACTGATGGTTAGTTGAAGGAGAAATGGAGTAAAAACCTGGAAAAGTGACTGCAGGCAACTGTTGTTTGACGAAAAATTTTACTCGATACTGTTATAGTCGAGTAATTTCATAGATTGTGCAAATAATAATTTTATAAATCAATAAATATTGCAAATTATGTAGATAAATTTCTACAAAATTTTACTTAGTTCAAAATACATTAAAAGTTAGAAATTTGTCAATGTGAATCTGTCAGATGATTTTTAGGGTGACTTCAGTATTAACTTTGGTTGCTAAGTACCATACCTTACGCTAGCTCTGTTCAATCTGTTAATATTGGGTTCTCTGTGTTAAGTAATTCATACATAAAAGTTTAATACATAATCTGTTCATTTTCAAAGGCTTTAATAGCCTTTCACAAAGCGGGTTTTACCCTCATATAATTTYTTCACTTTTTTGCTCCATTTTCAAAAATTCCTTGCAAGTCCATGGCGTTACTATTAAAGTTTGACTTTTAAAGACTTACTTGGGCTTGAAAATAATCATGACTTTGAGCCTTGCCTAACATACATACCTGCCTCTATGCCTGCCTACCCRCAGACATCTATGTACCTAGCATTACCCTGCCTGCATTCATTCATCGCCAGACTGTCTACTAAAAAATCGAAGAAAACAAGTCATATGACTTCATAAAATGTGTTTAATTATGCAAATGTCTGTATTTACAATATTATTTGTACATGTTGATCATAAAATATCCTGGTTATACTTTATATTAGTGGGAGTAAAAAATCATTGAAAAATAAAGTCTACCTGGAACATCTTACACTGAGGCACCACAAAACATTACATGAATCAGTTTGCACTCTTAAGCTCAAATTATAAGCAAATCCAATCTCTTTAATATAGTCTGCTTTGTTGCCTGTTCAACTTATTTTGGGTCCTTCAAAACAGGGTACAAAGAAAACCATTATAACCTGATGTTATATGACATCTAATATTTTMTTTTATGCAGCATGCACTACTATAATGACAGGAACTGCAGAGACCAAGAGACACACCAGATTTAGACATTCACGGATGATGAYGATGAAGAAAACACCTTGCATTGATGTATTATGCCCATGCATGCTGAAACGTAGTTTAAAGATTACATACCAGGAATCATTATTGTTAAATGATCACTAGTTTTGATAAAACATTCATTTTAAAAGTTTCTGTGTCAGATGACCTACTTACTAAGTGAATCATTTACAACTTTAAGAAGTATTAATAAAAATATAACATACTACATGGTTCAAAAAATTGTATATAAAATATTATCTATAACTGCAGTTTTGGGTGATTCTCTTAAGTACGAGCATTGTGAGAATTTGAAATTGAACCATAAYGTTTTGATAAGCATGTCTACTATWAAATGGCCTGCTGTAASCAAATTTAGTATTTGATTTGCCATCTTTAGACACAAACAAGTAGCCATTAAAGTAATACAAACCCAATAACTATTTATTGAAAAGCAGAAGCATATTTTGTGCATATTGGGTTGTTTATACTTAACAACATGTAATATATTCCTGAAAATTATTCATCAGTGATAGCAGTATGGATAAAAAGGGTTCCTCAAAAGCAAACTGAAWTTTTTTATGAATATTTATGTATATCCTAATTCTACTGCATACTTGCATGGTCTTTTGATTTTAGATATTAAGCTTAAAGTATCTAAAATAAATAAATTCAAATATAATGATAAGAATTTTACAAAATCTAATTAAGAATTGATGAGTGCTACTTGATTATATCCTA